GCCTAATCTATGACAAAGTTGCACTTTTGGCCATCCAGCTTTCCTGTCATGTAGACACTGTGTATGCTTGCCATTTTACACTTAGCTGTTGGGATTTTCACAATGGGGTATGGTGGGCGTCTCTCAACATCAACCACTACTGGTCTCCCCGAGGCTGACTTTTTGGTAGTATTCTTCTTACACTAGCTCCTCATATGTCCTTGCTCTTCACAGTTCCAACAACCTTTCTGGGTAGCAGCCTTTCCTGCCATGGCATCTTCCTTGTGTTGAAGTTGCTGGCATTGAGCTCTCTTGTGTCCAGGTTTCTTACAGTGCCAGCAAAGTCCCTCAAACTTCTCTGAAAACTGCCCCTTTATGGCCTTGAATCCTGATGACTGTACCAACCTTGGTACCTCTGTGCTGGACTTAACGTAGGATTCGAATTCAAGAGCTCTGTCCATTGCATCCTGCATAGTAGAGGGAGTGTGCTTGCTTTACTTGTACTTTCAATTGTGGACTGTCCAAGGCATCTACAAACTGATCCCTCAGCAACAGCTTGAGGACATCGGGTGGTGCAGTTTGGTAGGCCTTGTGTGCCATACTTTTCAAATCCTGTGCCAGCTCTTGCAAGCTCTCCCCTTTAGCACGGACTGCCGTCCTAAACCTAGCCCTGTAGAGTTCGGACTGATTTTGAGTTCCATACCCGAGTTCTAGAGCAACTACCAGTGCTCTATAGTTGCGCCTGTCGTCTGCTGACAACTGTCCAACTATTTCCAGTGGTTGTCTCTTCAGGCTCGTTGCCAGGTACACTGCTTTCTGCTCCTCTGTCCATCCATTCATTTCTGCCAGGAGCTCAAACTGTGCTCTATATGCTGTGGCTTCCTTCGTACTAGATCACCCCTATTGCTGACACTCATGTCTGGAATGTGACTTCTGGCAGGACTGAAGATGTCTACATTAGGGTTTAGCTGCGGGGTCTGGAAGGGGCTTCCTGTTGTCTGGGGCTGATTAAGTCCATGGTTAATATATCCTCTCTTTGTAAAAGACAATAAATCGTTCTTTAATGTATTTAATTCACTTTGGAATTTACTAATGTTTTCCATTTGTTTACTGTGGCTTTCTCTCAACTGTTGGACACTTTCTTCTTGTTCATTTTCTTTCTCCTCCAAACACTGCTGTAGTCTCTCTTCTTGTTTATTTTCTCGTTCTTCTTGTTTCTTTTCTTTTTCCTCCAACAACTGCTGTAATCTCTCTTGTTTATTTTGCTGTTCGAGCTGCCACTGTTGCAGGTTTTATTGCCATTGCTGTTGTCTCTTTCCTTGTTTCTTTTCTTTTTCTTCCAACAACTGCTGTAATTTCTCTTCTTGTTTCTTTTCTCGTTCTTCTTGTTTCTTTTGTTGTTCTTGTATTGCTGCCATCAAATCTGCTAAGCTGTAGTTTGATTTGCCACTTCTCGTTCCATCTTTTTTTCTTTTCCGTTCCACTCTCTGACACCATTTTATTACATATCTGCTCGTTTGTTAATTTCCGTTATAAATTCTTTCCGAGGAACTTCAGCGATACAAGTCCTTTCTTAATTAAACCAGTTTTTTTTCCTCGATACAACTTTGTAATACACAGAATTTCCGATCAGTACATTAAACTTAACTTCTTTTATAACACACGCTATAAATCACAGTGATTCACACACACTTAACTTACGTTGCCTACTATTCGCTTGACTCAATTATCTCTATCTTCAATCTCTCTGCATATTTATTTGTTTGTTTGTTTTGAATTTCGCGCAAAGCTACACGAGGGCTATCTGCGCTAGCCGTCCCTAATTTAGCAG